TACTGCCTTGGACTACAGACAAAGCTTGTGTCCATGTCAGGCTCACCCCCACGGGCAAGTGGTCCTGGCAGAGGTCAGAGCACCGCCCTTCTTCTCTCACTCAAAAAAGCGCATCTGGACCAAAGTGTAGTTATGAGAATAATCATGGTCTGGCTAAATTTATCTTTAAAAGTAAATCTTCTAGAATGCATCCAAATGCCTGCCTATCATTCTAGGGCAATCACTAAAGGCAATTTCATTAGTCAGGAGTAAGACAAGAATATCATCATTTCCACCACCAGCTAACATTGTGCCGTGAGTAGTGGTCAGTGCAATTAAATGAAGCAATTTCTGTTACAGGGATTATAAAGAAAATGGTAAAACAATACCTATTTGTATGTAGAATAATTATGTATCTAAAAAGCTCAAAAGAGTGAATGGGAAAACTACTGCAAAGTGATCAGAAAATTTAGCAAAGTAACAGGTTATAAATTTAACTTAGCAAAATCGATAGCCTACGTTTATAGCCAAAATAAATGGAAAAAAGATGTAGTGGAAAAGAAGACTCCAGTTAAGACAGCACATATATAAACTTTAAAAAAGTGTTCAAACCCTATTTGAGAACAATTAAAACACCTCTGAAAAGCAAAACAGTAGATTTGAACAAATGAAAAAAGACAAACTGTGTTTTTGGATGGGAAGACTCGGTGATAAAGAAACCAGTGCCCCTTAGTGTAACCCTGACTTAAAAGTGCTTCGGGTTTTGTCAGGTGCTGTGCAGGTTGATTCTCATGCTCAGTTGGAAGAGTAATAGCAAGAAGAGCCAGGGAAACCCTGCAAAAAACAAAGAAAGGGCCCAACTTTTCCAAATAATTAAAATGTGCTGGAAAGACTCTGCAATTAAAACATTTGACATTGATGCATGAAAAGACTGGTAAACCAATGGATCAAAATAGAAAAGTCCGATGTACACCATTTGCATGAATAAATTCAGTATACAATGAAGGTGGCTTCTTAAATGGCTGGAGAAGTGATGATCTAAAAAGTGGCTTTGAAATAAATAGAGAGCCATGTGGGGGGAAAAATAAAACTGGATCCATTCCTCACGTAATATACCAGGAACAATTCCAAATGGATTAGAGATGGAAATGTAAGTAAAGGAAACATGTAAATGCTATTTGTAAAAAATGAGTGTGTTCACTATAACCTAGAAATGTAGGAAATGTTCTAAACTATGACTTAAGGTCCAGAAACAACAAGGGAAAAGATTGATGTATTCAATTACATGAACATAAAAATAAAAAACATTGCATGGCAAAAAAAATCTCCATGAGCAAAATAAAAATAAATGACAAAAGTGAAAACATTCGCAATTTATATCATCATACTTTCCAAAAATAAAGGAAAAGCTCATTTCACCCATAAAAGAATGATCTGATATAGTTTTAACAGGAAAAGAAACAAAAATGACTCTTAAATAAATAAAAAGATAAAGATGCTCAACCTTACTCATAAAAGAAAAGCAAATGAAAACTGTACTGAGATGCCATTTCTCATCTATCCGATTTTGCCAAAAATCCAAAAGTTTTACTGCATACATACTCCGTTGGGATGGCTGTGGAAAGACAGCCATTCTTTCACACAGGGTGGGGTAAAAGTAGCATACAGTTGTTCGCATGGAAAATAATACAATAATTGATAAGTAATAATAGAATAAGGTCTGTGTTTTATGTCCTCACAACTATAAACCTACCTTTGCCCCACCCTGTGTGGCTGTGGTAATGCAGAATGATAAAACCTTCGGGCAGGGGAATATGGAAATCGCTACCAAAACTGTATAAGCACTTCTCCTTCCACCCAGCAATCCCAAACCTAGTGCCCCAAATATATGTTAGCCAAATTATGAAAAGACGTGCATGGCACAAGGCTTTTTATTACACACTTTAAGAGAAAAAATAAGAAACGTTTTAAATGAACATCAGTAGAGGACTGATTGAATTAACTATGATATATCTATCTACACGTTGGAAGAATATTTCTAAGCTGCTGTGGACTGACCTTCAGGATATAATGCAAAGACACTGTTGACATTTTGGGTCAGGGAGCTCTCTGTTATGGGAGACTGTCCTGTGCATTGCCCTCTACCCACTATATCCTAGGAACACTCCTTCCCCCAGTAACGACAACCAAAAATGTCTCCAGATATTGCAGAATGTTCCTGGGGGACAAATCATCACCGATTGAGAACCACTGATATAATGTGAAGTGTAATAGCACGTTGGGGGAAGTGTGCATAGTGTGTTTATGTTAACAAAATAGATGGATAAAGCATAACATTACCTTTAAAAAGCTGTTTATCTGTAGGAGGAAGGAACAAGACGAAAGGGGAATACAGAAGCTAAATTTCTTTGACTCTACCTTTTTTGTAAATTTGACTTTTGTACTTTTACATATAAGATGAAACAAAATTACATGTTTAAAAAAACAAGTCTAGAAGTAGAAAGTAAATGGAAGCAAATGAATTTATATATGTGTTCAGTTGTTAGGACATCTACACTGAGAAGAACTATTCTAAGTGACTTTAAAGATACTAATTTGACTGTATATCCCCAGCGGGAAATATTCTGAGGACAAAAATAACTGTAAAATAATATTAAATTGTTTTGAATGGCCATAATTGTAATGTAATTACGGCAATGTTGGCGTTGTTATGCTGAGGCCTTGTTCCTGTGTTTCAAACGAAACAATGAATAATTATGATGATGTCATTGACCATGAGAGGTTTCAACATGGGAAAATGGAGATACAAATGTAAAATGGATGAAATTAAGTAAAAACCTTGATGCCGTAATTTTAAATTGGAATTATCAATACCAACTCATGAAATAATTATTACAAACAAAAACTTTTGCCCTGGCCAGTATTCTCAGTGGTTAGAGCACCGCCCCACTTACTGAAGGGTCTCAGGTTCAAGGGCTTATACCTGGGTTGCAGGTTCGATCCCTGGCCCCAGTCAGAGCGAGTGCGGGAGGCAACCAATTGATGTGTCTCTCTCACATCAATGTCTCTAGCTCTAGCTCTAGCTCTAGCTCTAGCCCTAGCTCTATCTTTCTCCCTCCCTTCCTCGCTCTCTAAAAATCAATGGGAAAAAAATCCTTGAGTGAAGATTAACAACAACAACAACAAAAAACTATGCCAATTTCCCTAAATGTCTTTTCTAACTAAAAAGTAACCAACACTTTTTGGAAAAATGAATAATTCAGGACTGGGGTTAGAAAATGTACAAGATGACCCTGGAAAAAAATTGCCAATAGAAATTATTGGAAAGCAAGTAAGCTATCAAAGACTACTAGAGTTGTGTGGCAAGATCGTAAGAGCCAACTTGAAGAGGCTCTCACTGACCAAGGAAGGGCCATTTGTGCATCAGTAAGTATAGTAACCTTAATGGACAGAAACATATCAGATGTGATTAAATTCAGTCGGTCATAACGATGCTTGAAAAGAAATACTTCATTGATCACTTTGGGAGGAGCTGAAGAACCAATTCATTATTTTGAAATGATAAACAGAGGAAAAGAAGTATCCTGCTGTTGCTACAGGAAGTGTGCTTCAGAGTAACTAAATAGTTCTTTTTAGAGCCGTTCTAGCTAATAAGTGAGGAATAAATCATAGAGTTAAAACATTACCATTTTGCATTTTTAATGAATTAATGTTATGCATGTAATGATCGTCAATGGCTGTTACTATCACATAACAAGAAAGAGAACCAGGTATTATATACCTCCGGATGGAAGTACATTGTATCACTCATGTTGGATTTTTGTCCAAAAAAGGGTGAGGAAATTAAATTTGGATCTAATTGAGTCTCCTACATCAAACTACCAATTTATAAGAAATACAGGGGACAGAGGGATGTAGCAAAAAACCATGGGGATAGAATGAGTGAAATTCAAACGGTGGAAACTAAAGATGAAATGGCTTAGTTTGTTCAGTGCCAACAATAACAGCATAAAAACTGCAAGGAAATACAGGGGAAAATCTATAAATTAAGAGACACATCAACCAAACACAATGTTTGGATCTTATTTGCATATCCTGATTAAAAGAAACTATGAAAATATATATATATACACAAACATATATAACACATTTTAAAAAATAATTATAGAAAGATGAACACCAACTGAATATTTAATGACAACAAGAGATTAGTTCTGTCTGTTTAGATGCAATAACGGTATGGCGTGTATTTCCGGCGAGTCCCTGTCGTTTAGAGACACACACCGAAATTTCATGATGGCTGGAACTGGCTGCAAAATAACATGGGCGATGGAACAAGGTTAGCCCTGAATTCGTTACTGTCAAAGCTGAGCCATGAATACACAAGGGTTCTTTATATCGGCCTGAAAATGTTTATAACAAAATGATTTATAAAGGAACACAAGTTAGGAACTTTGTATTTAGCTATCATGTCCTTTGTTTAAGGACATGTCCTTTGATATCATGTCCGGTCTGAAGGAGGGCCGCAGAGTGGACACTGCCACTGAAGAGCTCTGACTGCCCTGACATCAGTCGCCACCCCTGCGTCCATTCCTCCCTTTGCTCAGCCTCTTCTTTGTTCCTGTTCCCGTTCCGTCTCTGCCTCCTCATTAAGTCAATTATGAGGAGCATATAACAGGAACTTAAGATAATAGGAACAGAACACACTGAGGTCACCTTGTGATCTCTCACATTGTGCCTCAAGTAATCCTGTGGAATTATCACACCCTGGGGGCAGGCTCAGCTGTTCAATTAATAGTGAGAATATCGATCAGCTCGTAGTGTACGTTCCTGCTACTGCGAACTCCTGGTTTATTGTCAGCGTCTAATTACAGAGTGTTTTCATGGGAGAACTCCCTACATATTGAGATAGCTGCTCCAGACTGGGATCCAAGACACGCGGGAAGAAAGAGGGCGGGGGCTCTATGTGAGCGACGAGGGAGTTGGCATCAGTCACCACTCTTCTCTTCTTTTAACTATAGGTATTCATCAAAGTGCTGGATAATAATGACAATGGCCCAGAATTCTCTCAGCCCAATTACGACGTGACCATCTCCGAGGACGTGCTCCCAGATACAGAGATACTGCAGATCGAGGCCACCGATCGAGACGAGAAGCACAAGCTGAGCTACACTGTCCACAGCAGCATTGACTCCGCCAGCATGAGGAAATTCCGCATCGACCCCGGCACCGGCGTGCTCTACACCGCCGAGCGGCTGGACCACGAGGCCCAGGACAAGCACATCCTCAACGTGATGGTAGGCGCAGCCCGCCTAGCCGACTCCTGGCGGGCTCACTGGCCACTCACGGCACGCACCTTAGTCTCCAGACATACAGGGCCCCTCAATTTTGTAACTAGGGCTCAGTGTGGTCTTTTCACAGCAGGGCTGCCTTCACTTTTGCCTTTTTATTTCAGCAAGGAATTACTATTGTTAGGCAGAGACTCCACATTTTTGCCAAACTGAAATATGAGATGAATTCAACAGACAGTGGCTGCTCAGTAAATGCTGCTGAGAGACTGACTTGAGAGGGGGGAACAGCCCATGTTTCCATAAATCTCCCAGTGCAGATAGTACTGCTTCTCACCCAGAAGATTTTGTGGGAGAGCTTAAAAGAAGTTCCATGAGAAGTTGATCACAGTGGTAACCATTTACTCAGCCTATGCAATGCTCAGTCCCTGAAAGCATTTAGAGAATTCATTTATTCCTTACTGCCCCGGCATTGGACCTCATAGGAGATGCTAGTGCACAAATGAGAACACAGAACACGCTGAAGCCTGCAGAGAGCGTTGAACCTGAACTCGGGTTCATGGGGCCTCAAATTATGTAGAAGTTGCTTTAATTTTAAAGTGGAGTTTGCATAGTTCCATAATTGGGAAGTAGAGATTAATAAAAAGCATCCTTCATTAGTTTTTTACCTAAAAGCTGTCACTTTAACCACCCAAGAACCCTATGGGCAATTGCACAGCCTCTGTCTACAGTGCCCTCCTGACTTCCTTAAGACCAGGTGGGATAGCAGAGGCTTAGTTTTGTGTGCTGATTGGTTTTAAATACATCAAGACGCTACCATTTCCCAAGCAGCTGAAAGTCAAAGTGCTGCTCTTCCTTCCCAAGTCTGGAAATCTTCCTGGACAAGAGGAAACCTGAGTGCCATGCCCTCAACTATGGTTTCCAGCTGAGACTCCAGGGAACAGAAGAGGGACTCAGGAATCATCAAATCCATCCCTCTGACCACCATTCATCCGTTCAACAGATATTTCTCCAGCACCAAGTGTGTACCAAACGCTGTTCTAGGTACTAAAGATGTAAAATAGACAAAGTCCCTGCACCCTTGGGCATTCACTTGGAGCAGACCTAGATTGCAGTAAGTCCAAAGTACAGACTCCAGCTTGGTCCTTAGGTGTGACAGGCAATCTACAGACAGGGAAATTCAGCACACTCACCGGGGTTGCTTTTGAATGTATTTTTTCAGGGGCAGAAACCTTATGCCGGTGACTAACTCCATTCTCATGATTCTTCAAGTCATTTCTGTTCATTCTTTCCTTAACAAACTCAAAATTCAGTTTTGTTCCCCTGTGCCATTGTCATTTACATAACTGAATATTTAGAGCAAACAAGTCCTTTATGCTGCTTTTCTCCAAACCACACACTTTAGTCAGTTTGCTCATTCCCTCTAGGTATCATTTCTGAAAAGCCCCTTCCCTTTGATGGCTCTTCTCAGTATATTTTTTTAATTTTTTCACATCTCTCAAGTTATGAAGCCTAAAATTGAACAAATGGAAAGGGCACATTTGATTAGTGCTCCATAAAATTACAGCAGAATCATGTAGTTAGAGTTAAAGGATTGATTATTTGCAAGCTTTTGCCATATGCAAAACAGGAAACTTGAAAGCAGTCAGGCAGGTTCTCTGGTGAAGTCAAAAATGGGGTCTCACATTTTAGAAATTAAGATTTAGTTCATCTTCCCAGTAAACAGGGTTCTCTCTCAGTACTGGGTCTTTGTATGTGTTTGTTCTTTTTGCCTGAAATACATGCACCACACAACCACTAGCACCATTTTACCACTTCTACTAATTTTTTTTTGTTATTCCTCACCTGAGAATATGTTTTCCATTGCTTTTCAGAGACAGTGGAAGGGAGGGAGGGAGGGAGGGGGAGAGAGAGAGAAACATCAATGTGAGAGACACATGGTCTAGTTACCTCCCCCAAGCACCCCAACTGGGGGTGGGAACCGAACCCGCAAAGCAACCCAGGTATGCACCCCTGACTGGGAATTGAACCTGTCACCCTTTGATGCACCGGCTGAAGCTCCAACCACTGAGCAACACCAGCCAGGGCCCACTTCTACGTATTTTTGTTACCTCTTTCAAGAAGCTGAATGGGAAGTGAAGTTCTTCTCACTACTCCCATCCTGGACTTACCACTGGGCCTTATGCCTGTCTACTTGCTTGTTTGCATTCCCCAGTCAACTATAAGGTTCTTGAGGGCAGGGACTGCATCTAAGTCAATATTGAACCACCAAAGTCCATCCTGGAACTTGACAGATAATAGATGACAATAAATGTTTGTCGAATGAATGGAGTGGATGAATGACAATGCCTACATTGCATTCATTAATTCTACTTTTCAGAGTCCTCTTTAGAAGAGCCTCCGTCCACTATTGGATTAGCAGCTGTTTGCACCATTGAGAGGTAGTAGCTGCGTGAGGGGCGCCAGAGGAAACTGCTGTGTTTGTGATATTCAGGCGTCAGTTCCACAAACACAGACTGAACACAGACCATACATCAGGCATAATACTGAGCAATAAAGATGACGTGGTCCCTGCTCTCAGTTTATTCATAATCAGTGTCCTGACTGGATAATACCACCATTTATTGAGCACCTACTATGTGCCTGGGTCTGGGTCAAGCACTTTGTGTGCATTATGTCATTTTGTTTTCACTACAGGCAGCGCCATGTGGGTTCTTTGCAAATTAAGATTTTAGCCCTACTGCTTCTTGTTATTTTGCTTAAAGGTCAGAGATCAGGAGTTTCCTTACCGAAGAAACTTGGCCCGAGTCATTGTGAATGTGGAAGATGCTAATGACCACAGTCCTTATTTTACCAACCCACTGTATGAAGCATCTGTGTTTGAGTCGGCTGCTCTGGGATCAGCTGTTCTGCAAGTGACGGCTCTGGACAAAGACAAAGGGGAAAATGCAGAACTCATATATACCATAGAAGCAGGTGAGAGTGCTGCACCGACGGCAGTGTGATGCATGGCACTGGACCCTCAGTAGTATTCATCACCTCATAAAATTCACACGGTTGTCCCTGGAACATTCCAAATGAATTTTTTGGCCAAGCAACTGCCCCATTTGCGTGATCATGGTGTATGAAGTTCAAGGCATTTCAGTAATATGGTTTCCGTCATTGACAGCAGGGAAAGAGTTTCCTTTTATTAGGTTCAATCTCAGATTTTTCTGGAATGGAAAAGAGAGAAGAAATGTGTAGTAAACGCAGTGTCTTTTACTCACGGGTCAACAGGCCATGGTCTCAGACTGAAATAACCAAAGCCTCCCATCATTTGAGGGCTGCCAGACAGCTCTGTGAATTGAATCTTACACATCTTTGTTTACTTGTCAGTGGGTGGGCTGTGGGCTTCAGAAATTCCTCTGCCCCCACAGTTGACACACATTCACTTCCTTGGAGGTGATCTGAGTAGTAGAGTAGTTGGCAGGGACTAAACTGCCTGCTTAACCTGACAGATAAATAAATACAGACACTTGTTTTGTTAAATTTGAGGTTTTTAAAAAAATCCATTTTAACATCTATAAGGCAGGACCATAGTTTACCGATGGTTTGAAGGTGGACCACTAGGAAACATTTACAACAGAAGACATAAATGTCCCATCGAGGGATAGAACTGTGAACCTGAAAATTGCAAATATCCTTTATCAACTCTATTTTCCCTTTTCCTTTCCTGTTGGTTTTGTGTGTGTGTGTGTGTGTGTTTGGTTTTTTTTGAATATTCAAGCCACATATTCCCAAAATGTTCTGCAACATTATGTCTGTCGCACATCATGCCAAACGCTGTCTCATGCCAGCACTGGATAAGGCTTCTTTCCCTTGATTTAAGTGGGGAGCATTTCTGTGAGTGGTGGAACTAAAATATGAATGCTAGACTGACAGTTTTGGACTAAAAAATAGTAGAGAAAGAAAAGCCAACAACTTTCTTTAAAAAGCCCTGCGATCTAAAATTATTTCCTGTGTTAGGCATCCATATTTTTCATAAGTTTGTGCTAAACTCTATAAAATTAAAAAAAAAGACGTTGGTTCATAATAGCCATGAGCCGCCATTTCTTTTCTAGATTTCCATAGAATTTCCTTTCAATCTAAAGCCTGATCCCTAATTTTTAAATGCTATTTTATATCTCTTGTTTGCCACAGGATATTTTATTATTTCATTATATAATTCTTTGTTCTTTTTTTCAACAAATAATATATGAAGAAACTTCTTTTTAGAAAACCAGTTTTTAAATAATGTCCTAGAAAATGTCACCTAATCCAATAACTTTATAGTCTTTCTATAATTTTCCCCTCACATATATTTTCTCCATAGTCATTCATGCACGCACAGTGTTTCATGTCATGGTAATCATTTAGATATAGGCTTTTATTTTTTCTTTCCTGCCTTAACTTTTTCTATGCTGTCTGTGTGCCTACTTGTTTTTCAGGTTTGTCATTAAGGCTACTCCTATACTCCTCTTAGATAACCAGATCACTTTTAAACCAACTTGGAGGTTCTTGAAGAGTAAAAGTAAATTACCATCCAGCTGAAAGAACCGCCTCCCTTATCTCTTACACAGACTATAGCCTGGTACTGTGCACAGAGAAAAACCTGTCATTCTTTTCACAGTTGACTAAAACTAGAGAGAAAAGTTATTTCCTTAAAACACTTTCTGTATAGAAAACTTAAACTTCCATAAATCCTCAGGAATGATTGGTATCTCAAAAAAGTAGCCTTTGACTGTATGTGTACAAAGCTAATGAGAATTACAGTGTATACAATATATCTCAGGTGGTTGCTGGGCCACTTCATGGACAGACAGACCTACACTGGACCTGAACTGGTCCTACCTGGCCAGGTTCTTTCTAGATCAGGGTAGGAGAGAGGCAGATCCCAGAGGCTTCATGATTTTGAAGCCAACACCAAGTGGTTGTGTGACGTTCTCTTGCAAATCTCTGATGAGCGAGATTTCACTCTGTTTACTGGCAGGCCATAATTTTCCTTCCCTGCCTGGCCTCTGAGTAACTACCAGAGCTTTTTATTTTGACCTGAAAGACTGAGGCGGAATTCCAGTGCAGAGCTTCAGGTCTTCCATTTAACTCAGGTTTTATGTCTGGTATCAACAGTGGCTCCTGTGTGGCTCTGAGACCAGACAGTACAGGGGACGCCAGGACTAGGAGTTGAGTTAGGATGGGTGCATGTTGGATCCCAAGATACATACAATTAGAGAATTAAAAATCTTTTTTAATCAAATATTTCATTCAACAAATATTTATCAAGCAGGTTCTTTGTGCCAGGTACTGTGCTGTTTACTAGAAAAAAATGGTAAGTAAGGTAAGCACAGCTTTTGCCCAGTTACCGAGAGTCTACAAGAAGCTATAAACTCTAAGAAAATGAACAGAGGTTGGTTTCTAAGGATTCAAGTGTATTAGGAAAGAATAAGCAGGATGTAGATTCTAAGAATATGGGACAGTTCACTGAAGAGGAAAAGAGCAGAGAGCCCGCTTTGGACCTGACATACGAGCACAGCAGCCTGGAGGAGTGTAACAGCAGGCCAGCGGCCATTAACAGCAGGGTTGTGAAGTTCTACTCAAGGTCAGAGGCTGGCTCCCCTTTGTCCCCGCTGTGCAGATCTTGCTGGGCATGTAGAATCCTGCTGTGCCTAGAATGAGGGAGCACTTACCTGGAAACTCCACAGTGGGACACCGTATGCTCTGTTGCGTCCATCATTCAGGGTTGCATGTTGGTGCCATGGCTGGAAGGTGACCATTGCTCAGCTACCTCTATATTTTTGTCCTCTGAGATGCTGAAGTGAAATGATTGCTGCCTCCTTGTGAGGGCCTGTGAATCAAAGGCTGGACTCCCCCTCAATTCCACAGTGCTGTTTGTTGAAAATCTGCAAGCTTGTTTATGAGGTCATTGAGCTCCTTGTTGTTGTGATCACAGAATGGTCATGTTTAGGTGGCGAGGTAAAAGAGTCATCCCAACATTAAAAATTATGTTGTTTAATATTCACATGTTGGGGCTACAATCAAATTATTTACCTCTTTATTAGATTTACTTCCTTTTTAAAAATAAGCAAGCATCGTATAGAAATGGATTTATGTGAATGTGCCTTTTTCATTTGCAGACATGGAAAAGTTTATTTAATAAGCGTGCAGTAAGAAGAATGTAAACAGCTGTACTTGCTATATCAATGCACACAGCATATAAACTGCCCTCCAACCCCGGAGCCTTCCTTAATGATAACGACATTTAAACGGTGCATATGTCTGCCACACTACAGTCCTTCATAAAGAAAGAAAAATCCCAATATAATTGAATAACCAAGATTATTAACATTCGATTTAAAAGAACCTAGACATACAGCATGTGTGTTCTTTGAGAAGTATTAGGAAGCCTGATGAGAGAAGCAAAAGCGAGTGGCTGAAGGATTTCGCTTCACACCACCCACTACTTTTAACTACATTCTTTACACTCTTCATGTGTTCCCCTTTCTCTTCGCTTTCCTGTTCCTCACCTTCAACAATCCTGACCTCGCTCCACTGCACGTTTCAGAGGCAGAGCTCTAAACCTGCAGTTTCCCGGTTTACAGCCCTTCCCATTTCAGATATGTCCGTGTGGGCACCAGTTTCTCAGTTTCCTAAGGATCACGCCTCCAGTTCTTGTTTTGGATGCTGGTTCTGATTATCGACAGTTTTGTACTTCACCAGAAACCGCTGAAAAATTTGACAAATAGAATGGTTGCAGATTGGAGCCACTGCCTTATCATTATTTGTCTAGTTTTATGTCTGTGTGTGCATGTGTGTGTTTGGGATAGGGGGTAATAAGAATTGGTTAGTCAGAAAAAAATCCTCACAACTTACAAAGCAAACAGTGTCCCTGCCTGAACAAAACACCCCTCACCAAAGTACTGTTTAGGATGAAGTTGGTTTTGATAGTGTGAAACAATACCAATTCCAGGTAGTAAAGCTTACCTTTAGGATGATCTGAAGCCAAATGACTATGTGGTCGTGTCCTGAAACAGTTTCTACAACCGTCTTTCTCGTAACATGGGACACAGATTACGGTTTAGGTGAAAATGCCTTTCGCTAGTCACACTGGCGTGTGCCAGCCCAATCTCCTCCTCTTCTCACAGGGCTAGGAATAAGAAAATCTGAACAGAAAAGTCTTTCCCACAAGCTTTTATTCACCAGTTTTAATGGACACACTGCTGTGTTGTTGTTGTTAACCTGGATTAAGAAGATAGTGATCTGAAATTCACAATTTTACCGGAACACTCAATTCAGTTGCTTTTGAATAATCCTAAAAGAGAAGTTTCTTGTTTAATTTCTGAATGAAATGGAATGAACACAAAAGTTTTCTTTGTACTTGCCATGTTACAATCAAGTAGCCTTTAGATGAAAAGTTAATGTTCAAAAAATGACCCAATTGTAACTCATTTCCCCATTGATTTCCATATTGTAGGGAACACTGGGAACACATTTAAGATTGAACCAGTCCTGGGCATCATCACCGTTTCCAAAGAACCAGACATGACGACTATGGGTCAGTTTGTCCTGTCCGTCAAAGTCACAGACCAGGGTACCCCATCCATGTCTGCCACCGCGATTGTGCGCATTTCTGTCACCATGTCTGATAATTCTCACCCCAAGTTCGCTCACAGAGACTACCAAGCAGAAATAAATGAAAATGTTGATATTGGAACATCCATCATTCTGATCTCTGCTATCAGTCAATCTACCCTCATTTATGAAGTCAAAGATGGAAACGTTGATGGGGTCTTTACCATAAATCCATATTCTGGAGTCATCACCACCCGGAAAGCACTGGATTACGAGGGAACTTCCTCTTATCAACTCATAGTACAGGCCACAAACATGGCAGGAATGGCTTCCAACGTCTCTGTCAATATTCAGATTGTCGATGAAAATGATAATGCCCCAGTTTTTCTCTTTTCTCAATATTCGGGCAGCCTGAGTGAGGCTGCCCCAGTTAATAGCATTGTCAGGAGCTCAGATAACAGCCCACTGGTGATTCGAGCCACTGATGCTGACAGCAACCGGAATGCTCTGCTCGTGTATCAGATTGTGGAGTCCACAGCCAAGAAGTTCTTCACGGTGGACTCTAGTACAGGAGCGATCCGAACAATCGCCACCCTGGACCACGAAACAATCTCCCATTTCCATTTCCATGTGCATGTGAGGGACAGTGGCAGCCCCCAGCTGACTGCAGAGAGCCCTGTTGAGGTCAACATAGAGGTGACAGATGTGAATGATAACCCACCTGTGTTCACCCAGGCTGTGTTTGAGACTGTCTTACTCCTACCTACCTACGTTGGAGTGGAGGTTCTGAAAGTTAGTGCCACGGATCCTGACTCCGAGGTGCCCCCCGAACTGACCTACAGCCTCATGGAAGGCAGCTTGGATCATTTCTTAATGGACTCAAATACTGGCATGCTCACCATAAAAAACAACAACCTCTCCAAAGACCACTATGCACTGATAGTTAAAGTTTCTGATGGGAAATTCTACAGCACGTCCATGGTCACCGTCCTGGTTAAAGAAGCCATGGACAGTGGTCTCCACTTCACACAAAACTTTTACTCCACCTCAATCTCAGAGAACAACACTAATATAACCAAAGTGGCTATCGTCAATGCCATTGGAAATCGCCTTAATGAGCCCTTAAAATACAGCATCTTAAACCCAGGAAATAAGTTCAAGATAAAATCTACCTCAGGGGTCATTCAGACCACCGGAGTCCCCTTTGACCGTGAGGAGCAGGAGTTATATGAGCTGGTAGTGGAAGCCAGCCGTGAGATGGACCATCTGCGCGTGGCCAGGGTGGTGGTCAGGGTTAACATCGAAGACATAAATGACAATTCTCCGGTCTTTGTGGGCCTCCCTTACTACGCTGCTGTGCAAGTTGATGCTGAGCCTGGGACTCCAATTTACCGGGTGACAGCCATTGACAAAGATAAAGGCGCCAATGGAGAAGTGACCTATGTCCTACAGGATGACTATGGCCACTTTGAAATCAACCCTCACTCAGGGAATGTTATTTTAAAAGAAGCATTCAACTCTGACTTGTCCAACATTGAGTATGGTGTCACCATCCTAGCCAAAGATGGTGGGAAACCTTCTTTGTCCACATCTGTGGAACTTCCCATCACTATCGTCAACAAAGCAATGCCTGTGTTCGATAAGCCCTTTTATACAGCATCCATCAATGAAGACATCAGAATGGACACCCCCATTCTAAGCATCAATGCCACCAGTCCAGAAGGCCAAGGCATCATCTATATCATTATTGATGGGGATCTTTATAAACAATTCAACATTGACTTTGACACTGGGGTCCTGAAAGTCGTTAGCCCTTTGGATTATGAAACTACATCTGCATACAAGTTGACAGTAAGAGCCAGTGATGCTCTTACTGGTGCCAGGGCTGAAGTCACTGTTGACTTGATAGTTAATGATGTAAATGACAACCCCCCTATTTTTGATCAGCTTACCTACAACACAACATTGTCAGAAGCATCTCTCATCGGGACACCTGTTTTGCAAGTTGTCTCTACTGATGCTGACTCAGAAAACAATAAGATGGTACATTATCAGATTGTCCAGGACACTTACAACAGCACCGATTATTTTCACATAGACAGCTCCAGTGGCTTAATCCTGACAGCAAGGATGCTGGACCATGAGTCCGTGCAGCACTGCACTTTGAAGGTCAGAGCAACTGACAGTGGCTTCCCATCGCTGAGCAGTGAGGTGCTGGTTCATATCTACATCTCAGACGTCAATGACAACCCTCCAGTTTTTAATCAGCTCATTTATGAGTCCTATGTGAGCGAGTTAGCCCCCCGAGGCCATTTCGTGACCTGTGTGCAAGCCTCCGATGCAGACAGCTCTGACTTTGACCGGTTAGAATATAACATTTTATCTGGGAATGACAGGACGAGCTTCCTAATGGACAGCAAGAGTGGGGTCATCACACTGTCCAACCACCGGAAGCAGCGGATGGAGCCTCTGTACAGTCTCAATGTGTCAGTCTCTGACGGGCTGTTCACTAGCACTGCACAGGTGCATATCAGGGTGCTCGGGGCTAACCTGTACAGCCCCACCTTTGCACAGAGCACCTACGTGGCTGAGGTTAGAGAGAATGCGGCTGCTGGGACCAAGGTAATCCATGTTCGAGCCACCGATGGGGACCCAGGGACATATGGTCAGATCAGCTATGCCATCATCAATGACTTTGCTAAAGATCGATTCCTCATAGACAGCAATGGACAAGTCATCACAACAGAAAGGCTTGACCGGGAAAACCCTCTGGAAGGGGACATTAGTATTTTTTTGAGGGCCCTTGATGGCGGAGGGAGAGCAACTTTCTGCACTGTGAGGGTGATTGTTGTGGATGAAAATGACAATGCTCCCCAGTTCATGACAGTGGAGTATAGGGCCAGTGTCAGGGCAGACGTTGGAAGGGGCCACTTGGTCACTCAGGTGCAGGCCATGGATCCAGATGATGGAGCCAACTCAAGGATTACCTACTCTCTATATAGTGAGGCCTCGGTCTCAGTGGCTGACCTCCTGGAAATTGATCCTGACAATGGCTGGATGGTCACGAAGGGCAACTTTAACCAGCTGAGAAACACGGTGCTGTCGTTCTTTGTCAAAGCAGTAGATGGGGGCATCCCGGTCAAGCACTCCCTCATTCCAGTCTACATCCATGTCTTGCCCCACGAAATGTTCTTGCCTTCGTTTACCCAGACTCAGTATTCTTTCACCGTTTCAGAAGATACAGCCATTGGGAGCACAGTGGACACCCTGAGGATTTTGCCCAGTCAAAATGTCAGATTTAGCACAGTGAATGGGGAGCGTCCAGAAAACAACAAGGGGGGTGTCTTCATCATAGAACAGGAAACAGGCACCATCAAGCTCGACAAACGCCTGGATCATGAAATCAGCCCAGCTTTCCACTTTAAAGTAGCAGCCACTGTACCCCTGGACAAGGTAGACATTGTGTTTACTGTGGATGTAGATATCAAGGTGTTGGATTTGAATGACAACAAGCCAGTCTTTGAAACTTCTAGCTACGAGACCATCATAATGGAAGGGATGCCTATTGGCACCAAACTCACACAGGTGAGGGCCACTGACATGGATTGGGGAGCTAACGGGCAGGTCACGTACTCCCTCCACTCAGAGTCCCAGCCCGAGAAGGTGATGGAGGCGTTCAATATCGACAGCAACACAGGCTGGATCAGTACCTTGAAGGACCTGGACCACGAGACAGACCCCTCATTCACCTTCTCCGTGGTGGCGTCCGACCTTGGAGAGGCCTTCTCTCTTTCTTCCACGGCTTTGGTCTCTGTCAGGGTGACAGATATAAATGACAACGCACCCGTCTTTGCCCAGGAGGTGTATCAAGGGAACGTGAAGGAGAGCGACCCTCCAGGCGAGGTAGTGGCCGTCCTCAGCACGTGGGACAGAGACACTTCTGACATCAATCGCCAAGTGAGCTACCACATTACAGGTCAGTCTGCCACCCTTGGTTTTCACTCTGTGCTCTGCCTTCTAAAGACGGAGGGTCGCAGGCAGGAAGGGTGGAGAGGAGAGGAGATGAGGGGTTGACTATTAGCGCTGGGGCTGCGGAGGTCGGAGTAGGCTCTCTTGGTGGTGGTCGCTCACTCAGCCTTAGTTTGGAGTTCATCGGCGTGCCTGCAACAGGTTACCCAGATGGGTATCCCGTCCCTCAGTCACTTTTTGTCATTTCAAAAGGAGTCCAGTCAAACACCTCACCTGAAGAAAGGGAAAAGCAGCTCTTTTTGCTGGGGAGGTATAGGAGATATGTTTTTAACTATATTTCTTTTCCCCTAGTTTATTTCGGGGTACAAAAAGCAAATAGCTTGACCCCTGTAAGCTTCACTTACAAGTTTCCTCTGATGATACAAAGCTATATGCGTGCACATGTACTGAATAGAGAGCCTGGTTTGACCTTTTCTTAAAAATCATGTTGTAACTCTAAGCCGAAGATATTTCTCCTGACGACTCCTTTTTCTTTGATCTCTTTTCTGTCTTTCCAAATACTAAGTAGCAGTTCGATGGGAAAGCCAAGATAGACAAATGAGGTCACCCAGAGGGCACAAAATATGTCACCGTTGCTGTGAGGGCCTGCAGATTCCATGTCAGAGTTAAGAAGGGGTGCCTTGATCAGGGCTAGCTTTCTGGGGGTGATTGGCTTTAAACTACAAAGAGGAGAGGGTTGATGGTGTGGGAGCAGTCTTCCTAAAAACTATTTTGGGGTTGTAAAACTAACATTTTGATGTGACATTCAAAGGCGGAACATAAGCAAAGTGCCAAAAGATTTTAAAGAATCCATCAATACTTGCAGTCAGGTGGCTTCCCTTTAGAAAAACTACATCATTCAATGTGAAAAATGAATTAATTAGAATGCCCCCAGGACACAGAATCTGCTTAAGTGCGCTGGTGGGAAAGTTAATTAATCACTGCAGAGTAAGAGCCACAGGAGAGCACAGGCGCCCATGCTCGAGATTCTCCGCGTTACTCATCCTTCTTTATGGAACTGTTTTCTTGACGTTTGCTGTTTAAAGCTATTTATGCATTTCATGCTTTAGCTGATAACTTCCATTTTTATTCAAATGTATGTTTCTGCAATAAAGACATGAGCAATAGTGGTAAGGAAAGATAGGTGAGTAAAGCATCACTTTTATTTGCATTCAGTTGCAGATAAAAAGCTCTTAGGCATTCTGAGGTATACTTTTCTGTTTGGAAGAATTGTTACTCAGCTTTAATTATTTATACATTGTCTCAGAATGGATGATTTAAAGGGACCATCCTATCAGCTTTACTAAAGTAATGAGAACAGAGTAGCTTAAAGCTACCGTTACTATTTGCAGTGCCAACCACCAACTGATTTTAATGAGATTTAACTTTTGCTCTTGATGTAGCACAACTTGGCTGTGCTGCCACAGATTAACGAAGGACCATTAATCATTTTATTTAACAAAAGAACAGTGTGGGCCTCCACCGAAAGCATCTAACAGGTTAAATTTGTGCATACTAAAATAGTATTCAACTGCAGCCTGATTGACTCCTAGCCAGTGATGGAAGAGAGTGATCTCCCAGCGAGGACTACAAGCCTCACCAGAGCAGGTTTCTCAACCTTGACACTATTGACTTTCTGGGTTCAAAAGTATTTGTTGTAGGTGGCCGTTCTGTGCCTTATAGGATGATTAGCAGCATCTCTGGCCCCTACCCAACAGATTCCAGTAGCACCACCATCACGACCCCTGATGTGACATTCAAAAGTGTCTTCAGACATTGACAAATGAGCCCCTAAGGGTGGGGAAGGGAGGCATAGTCACTCCCAACTGAGAACCGCTGCCCTAGAGGAGTGTGCAGCCCTCTCCTTTTCTGCACTGTCTGCCCAGCATGGTCCATCCAGGCCTAGGCCCCTGGGCTGACCCCCACCCGCCACGTGCCTTATAATCGAGTGCAAGCTGGTGCTCAAAATTCCACCACTTCCCACTCCATCCCTGCAGCATGACCGTGATCTCTGCCCTCTGCTCTCTAAAACATTCTTTGTAAGAAGGCGAGTCAGCTCCACTTTTTCAATGAAGTAGCAGCCAGCATGCAACGTTTCCTTATTTATTTGTTTATTGTCAGTCTTCCCCACGAGCCTGTGAGTTCCACACTCTAGAGAGCAGAGATTTGGGCTAGTTTTGTCCACTGCTGTAGCTCTGCTGCCTGGAGCAGAGCCTGGCCCAGAGCAGGTGATAAATACTTGTTAAGTGGCCAAACAAGTGAAGCGGTGATGATTTAACTGAATTCCGGGCTCCTTGCCAGTTGTCTCGTCCAGTCTTCCTCCACGTTGGAAGTGACACTATTTTCCTCTTCGGGATTGGAAGGATATAGCTGTTTTCTGCCCTCCTCTCCCTATCTTCAGCAAGCCCCCTTTGTCACCGTGTGATTCAGTGATGTGGGGAAGTAGTATTGCTGGGACCACGGTCAGTGTTTCGGCATCATCAAAAGCTGTTCCACTTCACCTCTTCTCCTTTCCCTCCACTTTCGCCAGCCTCGCTCCGATAAATTTGATCGAAGTGTAGTGCTTATCTCTGAACGGCTCCTTCAATGACCCTTCTTTAATATTAATGAGTCTTCCTCTGTCACACAAACTTTCCTCCCCCAAACTCCAGCCCTTATAAGGAGAGTGCAGCTGAATGATAAAGCCTTCCTTAAACGATTCCTTAAGAGCAGAATCCCAAAACGCTAATTGGAAAGAATATATGCACCCCTATGTTCATTGCAGCATTATTTACAGGAGCCAAGATCTGGAAGCAGCCCAAGTGCCCATCAGTAGATGAGTGGATTAAAAAAGCTGTGGGGCGTGTACACCATGGAATGCTACGCAGCCATAAAAAAGAAGGAAATCTCACTTTCTGTGACAGCATGGATGGGCCTGGAGAGTATTACGCTAAGCGAAATAAGCCAGTCAGAGAAAGACAAGTACCGTATGATTTCACTTATATGCGGAATTTAATGAACAAAATAAACAAACAAAATAGAAACAGACTCATAGATCCAGAGGACAGACCGACAGCTGTCAGAGGGGAGGGAGTTTGGGGGGCTGGGTGAAAAAGATAAAGGGATTAAAAAAACCAAAGCTCATAGACAACAATATGGTGGTTACCAGAGGGAAAGCGATGTGGGGAGTAGGCAGAAGAGGGTAAAAGAGGGATAAATGGTGATGGAAGGAGACTTAACTTGGGGTGGTGAACACCCAACACAATATGCAGATGATGTGTTATAAAACTGTACACCTGAAACCTATATCATTTTATTAACTAATGTCACCCGTAAATTTTCTTAAAAAAAGATTCTTTAACAGAACTGACTGCCTTTCCTTGACGGCATAATCAACAGCTAATGAAATGGTCTTGGTAACAAGAGCTACAGTGTATTGCATCCTCTCTTGAGACAAAGTAGAAAGGCAGTTGTATCATCCCGGGAAGAGGGCTGATGGCTCACAGTTTGAATTCAATTGTCCTTACGGAGCTAAATGCGAGATCGCCTGAAGCTTCTCTGAGTGCCTTTTATTCTCTTGAAAGTTACTGTTTTACTTTCCACACAAGCCAAGCATATGAATATCAGGCTTTCTTGCACAAGAATCAAAAGGAAGAGAGAATCAATTGTTGTTCAGTGTCGTAAGTAATACAGTTTTCAGGGCACCTGGATGGCCCTACACAGGCCCCTCGCTGTAAGTGTGGACCACAGCTTTTCATTGCATAGCTTCAAAGGCTCTTTTCTCCACTGCAGGAGGGAATCCCCGAGGAAGGTTTGCGCTGGGGCTGGTGCAGAGTGAGTGGAAGGTCTATGTGAAGAGACCTCTAGATAGGGAAGAGCAAGACATTTACCTCCTCAATATCACTGCCACCGACGGGCTCTTTGTCACACAGGCCATGGTGGAAGTGACTGTCAGTGACGTGAATGACAATAGCCCAGTGTGTGATCAGGTAAGACTTGTGGCTTTATCAGATAGATTGCTCCTTTTAATTCTGCTTCTCTAAAATTAAATAAAAACCCATTTCCCTTTTCTGCTTAAGGCCAGGGTAATTTCTGCTCTTTTCTGCTTCATTAGTGAGCTCCAATTGGATACAACAGGCTAGGAGGTCAAGTCCAGGATGAAATATTATAAACGTGGAAAGAGTAGAAGTATCAGGATCAGGTACCTAATTTTGCCCACAAAAACAAAACAAAACCATGAGTCTTAAAATTAAATAATTTTAAAGGAACCATAAACGACCTTATGACTATTCTGTCTAAATCACTGATTTTTATATAAGAGAAATGGACCACTCGAAAGCATCAATTACTTTTTTGTGTAAGTTTACACAACTGGTTAGTGGCAATCCTGGCAATGAACCTAGATCTCCAAATTCCTCATGAGGTAGCTTTTCAATCACGTACAAAACATGACAGTCAATGCCAGATGCCAGTACTAGGTTTTGTTTTCTTAATGAAATTAAATCACTATTCATTAACCTTTCCTCTTTTAATCACCATCTGAACCAAGAAACAATCTTCGTGTTCTGTAGAAACAGTGTTAGAAAAACAGTGTTAGAAAAAGTGTTGCAAATAGATTTAGCCTCTCATATTAACGCCAAATGTTAGTAGCGGCTCTTTAGAGAGTTGAAGGGTCCCAAGGATTCACTGGTGCTCAACAGAAGAGGCCCATGATCAATATGTGATCTGTGTCATGTTTGCACAGGGCAGGAATTTTTGTTTGTTTTACTCACCATTGTATTCCTAGAATCTCAGTAGTACCTAGCACACAGTAGTGCTTACTCAGTATTTGTTGAGTGAGTGAGTATGGGAGGGGCAGGGCAAGAGACCTGCCAAGTTTCATCATATATTGTAAGATGGTTCTATGGTATAAGAAAAAATAGCTGAAGCTATATTATATCAATGCATTTGTAAAGACATCGTGTATCATGCTAACTATGGCGGTTGCCCCACAAAGTCTAGTGATTTGATTACCTTTCTTTACCTTTTCCTAGGTTGCATATACAGCGTCATTTCCCGAAGACATCCCATCCAATAAAATCATCCTGAAGATCAGTGCCAAGGATGCTGATATTGGATCCAATGGAGACATACGATACTCACTCTATGGATCTGGACACAGTGAATTTTTTCTAGACCCAGAAAGTGGTAAGGTGAAATTTGTTCTTTGGTTAAATGCCATTGTTCATCCATGGGAGAAGTTAAGCTCTCATATGGTCTCATCAATAGTGGGTAGCTAGTGTACAAGAGCGTTGATATGATGCCTGGCTATCTGGGCTCTAAGAAATACTAGTTGTGCATGCCCTGGCTCGTGTGGCTCGGTCAGTTGGGTGTCATCCTATGCCCCAGGAGGTTGCCGGTTTGATTCCTGGTCAAGGTCATATGCCTGGGTTGGGGGCTCGATCCCTGGTAGGGGGCATGCAGGAAACAGCCAATCAATGTTATGCTCTCCCATTGATGCTTCTCTCTTTCTCCCTCTCCCTTCCTCTCTCTCTAAAAATCAATAAACTACACTTTTTTAAAAATGCTAATTGTACATGGTATCTGAAGATGGGTGCTCTGGAGCACACAAACTTTATTTGGCTTGTAAAACTTGCCCTGACTTACTTACATTTATTAGCGTCAAGTAATCAGACAGGTCCACTTGCTTCTCCTGTTTCTCATATTCGTGAGTTAAAGCATCTGCCCTATAAAGAGTTTAAATAGAATTACATCACTAACACAGGTTGCCATGCAAACCAGACAGCAATGCACAGTAAGGAGAGTTTTTCCCTGTTGAAATCCCTTTTGGGTCCCTTCCCGATGCTTATTAACACACTTGTCTGGTTTTTATTAAACACTCCTGCTTAGTTTCTCCAAAGTTATGAGACCTCAGATTTGCTTACACATTCAGGTAAAATTTATAAAGTGAAAGGTTATGTACGCCACAGCAGATGCCTGCATTGAAGGTCAGGGCTAATGGAAAATACATTTTCTATGAAGGTAAATTTTTTCAGTGTGATGTCTCAGATGGTTCATCCACTGGCAAATTGTAAATGAAATACAAAGATTGAACAACTTGCATATTTCTGGTGTTGTCTTGGTCTTGTTGAACAACAGAATATTGGGACTCCAAGAGATAGTGGTTCCTCCCCACCCAGTCCCACGGCACCTTTATTCTACTTGGAAGCACTGAGCTACATAGGAATATACTCCTTGGCTGTATGTGCCTGGTGTTTATTTATTCAGTAGCTAACACTTATTGATAGTTAGTTGACATAAAAGGACTTTATGGGATATTTTGGTAGACTCCAAGATGAACAAAACAAATCATGCCCAAATGAGGAAGACAGACCAATAAGCCAATAATAGTAATGATGATGAAAGATGGAGTGAAATAAGTGCCCAGGAGAGACATCAGGGGAGTTACATCTAGGCACAGAGGAAGAAGTAGCTAATATTCTGATGAAAGAACGCTGCAGACAACATTGTCACTGGTGAGAGGAGCTGTAAAATAGTTTGTGACAAAACTAGTTGGAAAAATAACTTTAGGCCACATCATGGAGGGTCTGGAAAGCCCAACTGAAAAACCACTGGCTGTCTTCGAGTAAGAGAGGGAAGTGATCTAACCCATGCTTGAGAACTGGCTGTAGCAAGGAAGCCATGGGAGGAACTGCTTTATAGGTCCAGCTAGCATGGTCCAAATAACGTCTGCTCATTTTATTTCAGTGTGATAATATTTCACGAGTCATACCTTTCACCAGATAGCATTTACTCAGGCCTGTCACAGAACTTGATGTTTAACTATTAAATTTTAAACAATAACAACAAAATCTCCTTGGGGGCTGAAGCCTAGCACCGGTATAGCTATTCCAGTGGTTAAAATACATAACCTACCTCCATGTTGGTTGCTAATAGCTGCTTCTCCAAGCTCCTCAAATATTCCCCCATGGGAACCCTCCCCCAGGACCACAGGCCCTTCCACAATCCAGCAAGTAGGGTTCACTTGATACAGTAGGGCTCCTTCAAGACCTCCTTTGCAACAACCAGCCTCTATTTTGATTGTTTTCCTCTAAAAAGATGTTAGTACCGGGAAACAGAGAGACTGCTTGCTCCTTTTGGGTCTACAGGTTATTGACATGACTGATTATCAGAGAACTCAGGACACTGGTCTATTGTCTGTGCCTTCTCTGGAGACAGCAGAAACCCAGAGTCATAGCAGGTCTTGGGAGGCTTAAGGAGGTTTGGAGCTTCTCCAAGTAGCCAAAAGGAGGAGCCCCGGAGACCAGAGGTTTCACAGTGGCATTAATTAATTTGAAGGTCATACGTTGATTTGTTGTTGCTCCAAAATCACATAGATTTTCCCCTGATACTTAAAATCAAATTTGTTCTGTTTTTTTCAAAGTATGAGGCCCTTGAGCCAAGTGTCATCAGTCCTTCCTATACTGGAATTCTTTATAGAATTGATCCTCTGCTTTTCAAAGAAAGACAGTTTTTGAAAATCCAGGCGAGTGAAATTTCTTTTCACAGGCGAGTTAAAAACCTTGTCTCTGTTGGACCGGGAGAAGGTCCCTGCCTACAACCTGATTGCCAGGGCCACCGATGGGGGTGGCAGGTTCTGCCAATCTGATATCCGCCTGATCCTGGAGGACGTGAACGATAACCCCCCTGTGTTCTCTTCGGACCACTACAACGCCTGTGTCTATGAGAACACGGCCACCAAGGCTCTGTTGACCAGAGTCCAAGCCGTGGACCCCGACGTCGGTAAGTCAGTTGCCTGCTGGGGCGTCCCCCGCTCGTGCATTCCGCACCCCTCCCGGTGCCGCCTTTCCGTTAGTTTCACCAGCCCACCTTAGTTCCTTACCAAGAACGTGTACATCAAACCAGATTTCAGCTCTTCCGATACTGTGAATTCCTTTACCTTTAACAAAGAATTTTGGATTTATTTTTTTTGTTTTAACCTTTAGAATAAAATCAACAGCTGCCTTACTTGCTCGTTCCTTCTAAATGTAGTTAAAATGCTGTGTTGTGTGGCATGGAGAATTCATTTCCATTTCTGTAAAGAATTGCATCCCATGCTTCAGCTGAAATATGACAATCTCGATTTATGGTTGTGCCCCATAGTGCAAAGACCAATTACTAAATGTGCTGCCAGTCCAATGTGGATTTTTTTTTAACTGCCATTTTCCAGAGCATTTTGGTCACATATAAACTGACATTTCTAGGCAGGCTGAGGGTGAGTGAAATAAGAAGATATTAGAATGAAAGTTGCTAATAAAGTTTGTGTTTGAAACCACTTTACATAATGAGATGGTGAGTTAGAAAAGACTGGAGCTAATTGCTAGGTAGTCCTTCTGAGAATGCATGGGTTACCAAGGTGACTGCATGATGGAATATAAATACAGAAGGGCATATAGACAGCCTCTTGGTTAGCGTTTTCAGAGCTGTAAATCATAGGACTAGAGACTGATGGGGTGTGTCTGCTATGCTAAACAGGCCTTTATGTAATTCACTGTCTTATTGCTTAATTCTGAATTGAAAGAAAAATTATTGGACTAATGGAAAAGTAAGTACACGATAATTAGTTGAAAACAAATGTAAAGCCCAGGGTCTCTGCATATGTCCCCTTAGAGAAATTAGTGGCTACACTTTGAATTATTGCTCTTACCTCATTAACATAATTTTCTAGGCTGAGAACCAACCCTTTAAAAGTCTGCATATGATAAAGCTTGATAAAAAATGATAAGCAGGAGGGGACTCTTATTGATTTATAATATCACAATACCTACAAATGCTCTTTTAAAAGGGAAGATAGGAAAACATTATCTGGACTCTTGTTAGCAGACTTTTGGGGAAAAGGGGGTAGAAATCATGTAAACTAATCTTTTAATAATTTGAATTTAACTTTGAGAATGTGTAATTGGGCCATAGATGAAATTTTAAGATTTAATAATTATTTTAATTAAAATGAAATTGGAATTTTTCTGCTCATTTTCTTCATGGAGGAAAAGGGTGCACTGTATCTATGAGAGACAAACCGAAGGAGTCTGGTTAGTGCTCCTGATGTTTCGGGCAGAGGGGGTGGGGAGATGTCACTGACTCACAGATGTGGTTGTGGCAAAGAATAAGCTATTAGCTCTCTGCTTTTTGCTTCTGCTGAGTCAGCTGCCCTGGGGGGAGGGGGGGGGGACAGAGATGACAAAGCCCTTAAAGGACCAAAACCAGAACAATGACCTTATCAACACCTCCCTCTGTTCATTTGCACTAATTAGCAAAAGGCTTATGTTCAGAGCTTCATGTAGACACAGAAGTTGTGAGTGCTGCTGACACCTATATATAAATTGCACCCACAGGGCCATTGTATCAGCCTCAGGAAAACTCTCGTATAGGATACCAGATTCTGGTTCATTTTTTTCAGTTTTTGTAGAACTCATTTAGCTTTTAAAAATAAAAGAACTAAGGTAGCCGGACAAGAACAAATGAGCACTTCCAAAAGTGCAAACTGAGCACCTGCTATGTCCCAGGCACCACGCTGAGGAAGCCTGTGTGAAGGTCTAGGTCAGAAGCCGGTAGCATGGGGTCAGTCTGAACTGTAATCAAACAGGCATTCTCCAGAGTTTCAGTGACTGGTGGCTTATGCCCTTTTTCAGTAGCAGCCTGAGAAGAGCTCTTACTTTGTCAGAAATACCCATTTCTCGGTCTTTCTAAGGAACTGCATCGGAACATGAGCTGGGTACAGAGATTACCAGGTTGTGAAGTGGGCAATTCAGCTTGGGGTCAGACTGAACCTCCAGCCTAAAGCTAAGCATGCACAGGAACCATTAGGTTGAATCCAGCCCTCTCATATATTTAGTCTGGCTTGTATACAGTGTTCAGAGTAATTTGAATTAGTCATCAGCAAAAGTCAGGCAATGTTTCTCAGAAATTTTCGCTTTTGGCATTTTATAAAAACAGCAACAGCACTCAGAAGACAGAGGTTCCAGGCACACAGCCCCGCAGCGGGTGAAGCTAAATCAAAGCTGCCTCCTCGATGTTCTGAGGTTCTCAGCCTCCCTATTCCCACCCACTTCACTTACTTATGTTGCTGCTGATCTCAGAGGCCTGGTCTCTAGAGTGACAAAAAAAAAATCAAAACTCTGTTCTTTACTTTTTAATTTTATTTTGAAATAATTATAAGTTCATAGGAAATTGAAAAAAAAAATGTACAGGTTGTACAGAGCTTTCTCCTGATGATAACATCCTATATAACTGTAGAAAATAGTCAGATTTGGGCATGAGTGAGTGTGTGTGTGTAACTTTATCACCTGTGCAGCTTCCTGTAACCACCACCAAGTTCATCCACCACAAGGCCCCCTCTGCTGCCCCCCATAGCCATCCTCACCCCTCCTTCCCTTCCTTCCCAGACGCTAGCCCCTAGCAACTGCCAGTCTCCATAGCTGTAATTTTTTTATTTCAAAAATTATATTTAAATGGAATCATATAGTTCATATAGTTTAGTCTGCAACCTTTTGAGATTGACTCCCCCTTCCCCACCCCATTCAGCATCATTTTTGAAACCCATCCAGGTTGTTCAATTGGTTTTGATCCTAACAAAGAACACCGGCTCCACTTGTGTCAATGACAGGCCCGTTTGGTTCCTGAAACCTCTTTTGTTAAGCATATTCCTTTACCCTATAGTAACTGCCTAGGTCAGAAGTAAAATAAAACCAGAGGCTGACAAGATCATTTTAATACTCATTTTAGGAGTTCTAAGAAATAGCATGGCAATTGTCTAGATTTTAGCATTAAATTCTTACTTTTCCTGTAAAACAGAAATATCCTCAGTCCCATGAACTAATGGCATGACACAACTTAACATTTGTAAAAATTTGATCTTTTCAGTAAAGATCAGGAGACGTTTGTTTGCACTACCTCTTTGGGTTAAAATCTTACTATTTAGTCTACCAGTTTCCAAATTTTGAAGGTTTTTGGGTTTTTTACTGTAACAAACAGAATATAAAGCAATGAAGTTCAGAGCTAAAAATCTGTGACCATTTTAGGCAAAATGACATGAAAATAAAACATAAGCATCCACCAGAATACATGCTATAGCCCATGTTTTATTGACAGACCAATATGTAGATATTTGAAATTCAAGAAGACGTGGTTTTCCTCTTATGAGGGGCTTAAAGCAAAGAAATGTTCAAATGAACAAACTCACTTATTCCTTTCCTGTAAAATGTTTTCTGCAAGGCTTGGAACTTCTTTCAAGGGTTTCAGAGGAACTTGGAGGCTCATAGTACACATTACAGCTATTTTCCATTCACTTTAGCAGGTATTTAATGAGTAGCTAGGTAGTAGGCACTACAGAGGAGCTACAAGATTCACACAGATGAGGAACGTGCAGTGACAGCCTCGGATCATACGCAGCAGTGAAGGGGATGAGTCAGGAACTTGTGCACTTTTCTGAAAGGCAGGGCTCCCAGACTGATTGGGGTTCAACGGGAAGGTGTTCAGGAAGACAGGAGCAGGGGGATGAAGTCGCGAGGCTGGGAACGGTGGACCCAAATAAATAGTCGGGGGAATGTGCAGGACGAAAAGAGGTAAATGAGGTGAGAAAAATAGCCTGGGGCCTGCTGATGGTGGTTTCCATTATGACGTGAACTCTGTACTTAAGCCAATAGGTGGGAAAGAGCTGTGGAGCACTTTTGAGAAAAAAATCATCACCCTGGGTTTTGGAAACTCAAGTCTGATAGAAGCCTCTAAAATAGGAGTAGGGAAAGCTTCTAGGAGGGACTGAGAAAGACTACAAGGAACAAAACTAGAGTGGTGGCTTTGGAATATAAAAGGAAGGAGCAGAATATTCTCTGTATCTATGAGCCATGGGATGTAAAGGACAGCACTAGGAATATAGTCAGTGATATTCTAATAACTATGTATGGTGTCAGATGGGTGTGAGATTTATCAGAATGATTACTTAGTAAGTTATATAATGTCTAATCACTGGGGTGTACACCTGAAACTAATATAATATTGGATGTGAACTGTAATTGGAAAATAAAAAATGATTTTTTTTAAATGTGCAATAACAGGAAGGAGCAGATGAGAGATTTTAGATGTGAATTCTCCAAGTTTTGGCAAGATAGGCTAGGCAAGATGTCAAACCTGGGCACCAGGAGAAGGTTTTGCATGAACAGAAATAGCATAGGTGGCCTGAAGTAGGACTTGGTGTAGAGAAAATGAGGAAAAATTGGAGACATCTTGGGAATTAAAAGTATAGTCCTTCAGAAAAAATGTTAGGATAAGATAAGTTTGCTATTCTGGACAGAGTGGGGAGGCCTTGCTTCCAAGGGGTTTACAGTCATAGCACAAATGAACATTCCAAGAATAATGTAATAAAGGTTATGATAGAGTTGCATGTGTAAAAGTAGGGATCTGTAAGAATTAATCAGCGCATATAAAATGTTAGCACAGGTCCCTTTGGGAACATTAAAATGTGAGCGATGAATTTTCAACTGAGGTGGCCCAGGAAGGATCCACAAAGTAGCATTCGTGTTTAAGTTGTGTCTTAAAGCATGGGGCTTGAATTTGGGTGGGCAAGAAGAAGGGAAAGATGTATTAGCAAGAGAAAGAGGGAGAGGGAGGGAGAGAAAGAGAGAGTGAGGACTGTATCAGCCAAGTCAGCTTGGCTACACTGGAGTAACTTTTTAAAGCCTCAGTGGCTTAGCACATCAAAAGTTCAGTTCTTTCCCATGAGAAGTACAGGTGACATGGAGCTCTGGTCC